AGGTGATTGTGCAAGAGGAAGGCTGGGGGGGGGGGAGGGAAGGGAAGTACAATAAAGACAAAGAAAGCTTGAGATTGCATAACAGCACATGCATTTGGGATAGTGGAGGCAGCGATGCTAAAGCACCAGCATTTCTCTCCAACCTGCAGAACTGTACATGGTAGAGGCTTTTTTGGAGTTACAAGGAAGGGAGGGAAGAGGGAACAAGTTGGGAGTGGGTCACAGCCACAGCTATTCATCATCTCTCAGAAAAACAGAAAGAAACTTCCTAGTTAATATTGACCCTATCAATGTTAATTCCAGCAGGATTCATTAGGATTCATAGTGAGATAACTATTGTTCATATGCATAAGATATGGTTTTGTCCTATAAAGGTTCCCCTTAGGGAAATCCCAGAGACTTAACATGCCTCCCCCCAGCCACTTGCCAGCTGTTTACATTTCCGCTGGCTCCTCCGCTGAGCAGCAGGGAGAGCCCTCCAAACAGCAGGAGAGAAGCAAATGGGAGATTTTAAAGATCTGTCAGCATTAATTAAATAAATCAGCTGTTGGTTTGGAGGTTTTTTTGTTTTGTTTTGTTTTTTTGTCCCTCTCCTTAACATAATGAAGGTCAGTGATGGTCTTTGCACTGAGCATAGAGGATAGGGATATAATCAGTGCTAGTCACTATGGCTTTATGGAAAATAGTTTTTGTCAAACAGTTATGATTTCATTCATTGATGAGATGGGACATTTGGTTGAAAAATGTAACTTCATAGATGTAGTATACTTTAAATTTTGTAAGGCATTTCACTTAGTACCACACAACATTCTGACTAAAACGTTGGCACCATATAATACAAATAAAGAGGATTAAGAACTGGCTACAACTCAAGAAGTAATTGTCCATGTGGAATCATCATTGAATGGGGGAAAGATGTTTGAATGGGGCTCCTTGGGTATCAGTATGAGGCTCAAGGCTGTTCAACATTTTCATCAGGGATCTGGAAGTAATTATAAAATCACCACTGGCAATGTATGTGGATAACCCAAACACTGACGGAGTGCTGTGTATTGATGAGGACTCAGCAGTTCTACAGAATGATCTGGGTCACATAGCAAGCTAGGCCCATTCAAGCAAAATGCATTGTAATGCAGCCAAGTGGAAGGTTATACATCTAGGAACAAGGAATGCTGGCCATACCTACAGAAAAGAGAGATTGCATCTAAAAAAACAAAACAAAACAAAAAAAAGAAAAGAACATCAACTCTGAAAAAGGATGTAGGGTAATAGTGTGAAAGCAACTGAACATGAGCATGCACTGCAATGCTTTGACTCTATTGATCCTTAGATGTATACACAGGGGAGTAGTGAGTAGGAATGGGAAAGTAGTTTTACTTCTGTATTTGGCACTGCTGAATCAGATAATGGTGTGCAAGATTTTGGAAAACTGGAGAGGGTGCAGAAAAGGGTCAGAAGAATTATTTGTCAGTTGGAGAACATGCCTCATAAGAAAAAGCTTAAAAAGGCCTGTGAAGTTCATTACCGTGGCCCTTGCACCAGGAATCAAAACTCATATTTTAACATCTCAAATGTATCTCTAAAATAAGCATCTCTTATTAAATTGGACCGTACAAATGAGACTTTTTTGAATAAATTCATTTTCTTCACCTTGATGTTATGTAAAATGTATTGTCTGGAGAAAGAAGAGCATAATTATACAGCTTTTATTGGTGGGTCACTTTTGTTTCTGAACTTTTCCACCCAAAGCCATAACTCATTCTTTCCTTCTTAATCTATACATCATATTTCATATAAAATGTATTTGTGAATATTTTGGAACACCTTCCCATTCCAATCCCCTCTTTCAGGGTATAAAATGTATTGATGCAAAGGTTGGTCACTCATATTCCTCTTTTTCCCCCTGTAAAATACCTTCCTAAATTAAAGACCCTTGTAAAGGCTTTTGATGTCCATTTGTAAACTTCTTAATCCTCAGTAGCACTGTGTAGTATACCCTGTAAAATGTCTACAAATTGTCACAATTTTGGGTGCAAGGGCATCCATTTTCCCCTTTCTGTAGAGCAAAAAAAGTAAAGGCTAATCATCCCAGTTGCCCTTTTAAAAAGTTAATAGGCCAGATATTCAGCTAGTGTAAATTTGTGTTGTTCTAATGAAGTCAATAGCTAAAGACCAGAGGACCATCTATGTCTAAAATCCTGTTACACTGCCCGAAATCAGAACAAATCAGTAGCAACAGTGAAATGTCACCATTGTCTCTAGTTGGTTTCTCTTCTAGAATGATCTCTGACATTGTGTGATGACATGGAATATTAGATCTTATAAATTTACCCTAATAACAACAGGGAGAAATGTGAGTCAAACCAATGGCAGAAGGAGGAAGTAGCTGTATTTTATATGATCACAGCCCCAACCTGTGATGGACAGGTGGCATAATTCAAATGGGCAGAAGCTGGATGTTTTTAGTGATGACTGCAATAAATCACAAACATAAAGTCTACAGAAGACAGAAAAGAAGCTGCTATGGTGGGCTTGGGCACTAAAGGAGCTCCCAGCTATCTGGTTGCAATCTACAAGCGGAAACCACAAGTCTGTTAACTCAGTGTATAAAATTGTCAAATTGCCCAGCACTAAATGAGTCAGGATGCTAAATCATTAACTGTCACTTTTTTTTTTAAATGGAAAATAATCTGATAAACTGAATTAACTGATTCAATTACAAAGTCAGGGCAGAGGAGACTATTGTAATTAAGCAATGAATCAGAGCTATTAATTGTTCTATATATGTCTAAAGACTGCAGGAAAATTAGGAGATCTGATTAGATTATTTGGAATTCTTCTGCTATCTAGTAATAGCTGCAAATCATATTAGAGAGCAAAATTGTGTAATGTGGAAGTGTAATGTCAAAGCCCAAGCATAACAATATTCTGCCAGTGATGGCTATGTGATAACAATAGGAAAAGGAAGGGAGTAAAACTTATAAAATCAGATTATCTATTCTGTAATTTCTTGTGTATCTGGTTAGTTCTGATTCTTTTATTTCTTTTATTCTTATACTACTTGTTTTCTTTGCAGTTTTTTATTTAAAATCATTTTTTTCATTGCTCCCCACCCTTATGCACATCCCCTTCATCTCTTTATGATTTGAAGAATAGAATTGTGTACAAGGGCTGGAGCAAATGGTAAGCAGTATAAAACTAACAGGAGGAAGTAAATTTTGAGAGGATATATCACAATGAC